TTTTTATTTGGTGAGGCAGCTGGGGTTAAGTGACTTGCCCAGAGTCACACAGCTAGTATTATGTGTCTGAGGCCAGATCTGAACTCAGGTCCTCCTGACTCCAAGGCCAGTACTCTATCCACTGTGCCATCTAGCTGCCCCGCCTCCTTGATATTCTTTCTAGGTTTATGGGACACCACTGTCTCCCACTTCTCCTCCAACATATTTGACCACTCCTCAGTCTCCTTTGGGGAATCCTCCTCCAGAGCGTGCCTTCTAACTGTAGGTGTCCCTCAGGGTCCTATCCTGGGCTTTCTTCTCTTCTCCCTGCTTCACTTGGTGATCCTATCAACTCCCATGGAGTTAATTACCATCTCTTTACTGATGATTCTTAAATCTACCTATCCTGAGTCTGATGATTTCCAATCTCACATCACCAGTTGCCTTTCAGATATCTCAAACTGGATGTCCAACAGACATCTTAAAATTCAGTATTTCCAAAACAGAACTCATTATCTTTTCCCCTAAAACCTCTCCCTTTCCCTATTACTGCTGAGGGCAACACTGTCCTCCTACTCCTTCAGACTCAGAGCCTAGGAGTCATCTTCTCTAGGCTAAACATCTCTGGCTCCTTCAACTGATCTTTGTGACATATCTTCCAGTTCTCTTACTTTCCAGGTCACCCTCTGGTCATGACACAACTTGTTCATAATGTTCCTAAACTGTGGTGCCCAGAACTGTGCACAATACTGCAGATGTATCTTGACTAGAAGAAAGGAATGATTACTAAGCGCCTACCATATGCCAGGCACTATGCTAAGTGCCTTTATAAATATTATCTCGCTTGATCCTCACAACTTTGGTAAATAGATGCTATTAGCCCCATTTTGTAGTCTTGGAAACAGAGGCAAACATTAAGTGACTTACCCAGGAACTCACAGCTAGTAAGTGACTGAAGCCGGATTTGATCTCAGGTTTTCCTGACTCCAGACCCAGTGCTCTAACCATCATACCACCTAACTACCTCTCTGACCAGGGCAGAGTATGGCAGGACTATTATTACTTCATTTGTTCTGATCACTGTCTCTTTTAATATAATCTAAGACAGCATTTTTTTTTGGCTGCCAAGCCAATATGATCTTGCAGTTCAGATTCTGTATTTGTGAATAATTTTTTAAACTATATTTATCCTTATTAATTTTCTTTTGTTGTTGTTGTTGTTGTTTTTGGCTCAGCAATAGGGTTAAATAACTTGCCCAGGGTCACACAGCTAGTAAGTGTTATGTGTTTTTGGCCACATTTGAACTCAGGTCCTCCTGACTCCAAGGCTGGAGCTCTATTCACTGCACCACCTAGCTGCCCTGTATCCTTATTAATTTTCAATGTATCTGATTTGGCCCACTGCTCTAGTCTGTTGAAATGTTTTTATATCATGTCATCCGGCATTAGCCGCTCTTTCCAACACTGTGCCATCTGCCAATATGACAAAGAAGCCGTCTGCTGAACAGCACAAGTCTGAGGATAGAGGGATCCCTGGGACCTTCCATTAAAGACTACACTCCATGTTGACACTGACTTATTAAAAATGATTCTTTGGAGTCCAGTCAATTCGTTCCAAGTCCAAGTAACTACTCTCATGCAGGCCGCATCTCTCCATCTCATTAGGAGGCACAGTATGACAGGCTATCCAAAGGAGCATAAGAAATGGCGTTGAGATTACACTGGGGAGGAAACTCCTTCTACCAATGCCAGCCAGTGCCTTCTCTGCCAAGAGCGTGGCTTCCCAGGGCCACACAGCCACTGGGTGGCACAGGTAGGACTCAGACCCAGATCTTCCTGGCACTGAGGCCAGCTCTCTATCTGCTATGCGCTTGCCAAAACTGTTCCTTAAAGATCGTCTGTTAGGCCAGTTCACATTTGTTAACTGGAGGAGAAGGGTTAATAAAATATAGGGAGAGAATTTTACTAAAATGTTTGCAGATTATGCAAAATAAGGGAAAATTCAGAAGATGTGGTAAGGAAAAAAGCAAAGAATATGCTACATATTGAAGGGGGTAATTTTAGGTCATTGGTTGGAAAAACTAAAGCAGTATTTTAAAATTCCGTATAAAATCAAGCCATTTGTATTATTCAAGAAATCTTTTTTTAAAAAAATTGTTTATTTTTTTAAAATATAAATTTATTTATTTTTAGTTTTCAACATTCAGTTCCACAAGTTTTTGAGTTCCAAATTTCTCACCCCTCCCCCCACCCCAAGATGGCATGCATTCTGAATACCCCTTCCCCTGGTCTGCCTTCTCTTCTCTCTCTCTCCCCTTCTCTTATCCCCTTCCCCTTCTATTTTCCTGTAGGGCAGGATAGACTTCTGTACCCCATTTCCTGTGTTTCTTATTTCCCAGTTGCATGTGAAAACATTTTTTTTAAACATGTGTTTTTAAAACTTTAAGTTCCAAATTTTCTCCCTTCCTCCCTCCCCACCCACCCTCATTGAAAAGGCAAGCAACTCAATATAGGTTGTACATGTGCAGTTATGCAAAACACTTCCTTAGTAGACATGTTGTGAAAAACTAACTCTATTTCCCTTAATCCTATCCTGCCCTCCCATTTATTCTATTCTTTCTTTTGACCCTGTCCCTCCTCAGAAGTATTTCCTTCTGATTACCCTCTTTCCCAGTCTGCCCTCCTCTCTGTCACCCCCCTGCTCTCTTGTCCCCTTCTCCCCCTATTTTCCTGTAGGGTAAGACAGATTTCCATACCCAATTGAATGTGTATGTTATTCCCTCCTTAAGCCAAATCCTATGAGAATAAGATTCACTCATTCCCTCTCACCTTCCCCTGTTTCCCCTCCACTGTGAGAGGCTTTTCTTTTCTGTTTTTTTTTGTGAGATAATTTACCCCATTCTACCTCTTCCTTTCTTCTTCTCCAAGTATTATCCTCTCTCATCCCTTAATTTTATTCTCCAGATATGACCCCTTAATCTTCAACTCACCCTGTGCCCTCTATCTATCTACATATACATACATATAATTTTTTTCCTTCAACTACCCTAATACTGACAAAGTTCTCATGAGTTATAAATATCATCTTTCCATGCAGGAATGTAAACAGTTCAATCTTAATAAGTCTCTTATGATTTCTCTTTCCTGTTTACCTCTTCATGTTCCACTTGAGTCCTGTATTTGAAAGTCAAATTTTCTATTTAACTCTGGTCTTTTCATCAGGAATGCTTGAAAGTCCTCTATTTCACTGAATGACCATTTTTTCCCCTGAAGGATTATACTGTTTTGCTGGGTAGGTGATTCTTGGTTGTAATCCTATCTCCTTTGCCCTCCGGAATATTATATTCCATGCCCTGCGGTCCTTTAATGTAGAAGCTGCTAAATCTTGTGTTATCCTGATTGTGTTTCCACAGTACTTGAATTGTTTCCTTCTGGCAGCTTGTAATATTTTCTCCTTGACCTGGAACTCTGGAATTTGGCTACAATATTCCTAGGAGTTTTCCTTTGGGGATCTCTTTCAGGAGGAGATTGTGGATTCTTTCAATTTCTATTTTGCCCTCTGGTTCTAATATATCAGGGCAGTTTTCCTTGATAATTTCTTGAAAGATGATGTCTAGGCTCTTTTTTTGATCATGGCTTTCAGATAGTCCAATAATTTTTAAATTCTCTCTCCTGGATCTATTTTCCAGGTCAGTTGTTTTTCCAATGAGATATTTCACTTATTTCTTTCTAATTTCATTCTTTTGGATTTGTTCTACAGTGTCTTGATTTCTCATAAAGTCACTAGCTTCCAATTGCTCTATCCTAATTTTTAAGGAAGTATTTTCTTCAGTAATCTTTTGGACTTCCTTTTCCATTTGGCCAATTTTTCTTTTTAGGGCATTTTTCTCCTCATTGGCTTTTTGGACCTCTTTTGCCATTTGGGTTAAGCTGTTTTTTAAGGTGTTATTTTCTTCAGTATTTTTTTGGGTCTCCTTTAGCAAGGTGTTGACTTGTTTTTCATGATTTTCTTGCATCACTCTCATTTCTCTTCCCAGTTTTTCCTCTACTGCCCTTACTTGCTTCTCAAAATCCCTTTTGAGCTCTTCCAGGGACTGGGACTGATTCATATTTTTCTTGGAGGCTCTGGATGTAGGACCTTTGACTTTGTTGTCTTCTTCTGGTTGTGTGTTTTGATCTTCTTTGTTACCAAAGAAAGATTCTATGGTCTGACTTTTTTGGTGAAGTTTGCTCATGATCCCAGCCAATTACTTGAGTTATAAACTCTTTATTAAGGTAGGGGTGTTTGCTTCCATTGTAGAGAATGTGCTGTCCCAAGCTTCAGGGGTTTTGTGCAGCAGTTGTCAGAGATACTTCTAGGGATCAGTTCTTCCAAGGTGGTATGATCAGGGGCAAGGTGTTTACTCCTTTCCCGGCCTGTGCTCTGGTCTATAAGTGACCACAAGCACTCTTTTCTGCCTTGGAACTGTAACGAGGATTCTCTCTCTACTGCCACTACAAGCTCCACCATGCCAGCACTCCTCCTCACCCCAGGACCACCACCCAGAACTGTGACTCAGATCCAACCATGGGCAAAGCAAGAGAATCCTGCCTCAGCACCAGCAAAGAAATCCCTGGAATCCCTCTCTGATCAGCAACTCGATTCCCCCTCAATCTATAGGCTGGAAGCTCCAGAAACAGCCACCGCCTTGGGGCTTCAGCCTGAACTGGTGCTGGGATCTAGCTTCTCTCTCACCGAGGTCACAGACTTTTCCTATTGACCTAAGTTGTCTATGGTGTTTGTGGGTTGAGAAGTGTGGAAACCACCACAGCTGCCCATGATTCAGTCCTCTGAGGCCTGCTCCAGGTTTGCTGAGGCCTGTTTTTCCTCATGGAACTGAGTTCCTCTCCCAGCCCAGAGTGATAGACCTTTCCAATTAACCATTCAGGTTGTCTTGGGCTGGATATTTGTTTCACTCTGTCTTTTTGTGGGTTCTGCTGCTTTAGAATTTTAGAACCATTTTTTACCATTATTTGGGGAAAAGCTTAAGCAAGTCACGGCTTTTACTTCACCATCTTGGCTCTGCCCCCCTCTTAGAACATATTTTCACTTTTAACTTGGCTCCATAGCATGGTTTCAGAGGTTACATACGGAGGTATTAGTATACCATGAATTGTAAATTTACAATTTAAGTTGCAACTTGAAATTCTATTGACTAATCTTCATTGTGATCTTGATGTGTCTGTAATAGGATGGTCCAGTTCTAATGGCAAAATTACATTCCATAATGTCTGGAGACCTCTACTAGCTAGCTGTGAAAGCTCATTAAGCTAGTTAAATTCTATGCAAGGATTGATCTTTCAGGGCTGGTGACTAAATTACTACAAAATCAGTCTTTTAGAAATTGCTGTTAATGTAGAGAATTTGGCCAATTCCCTCTTTCAAATCATTCCTTCAGATGCTAACACAATACTAATTCAGCATCAAAAATGTTTTGCAATTCCTGAATTTATTCAACTCACTTATTAAAATCATACAGTTACTTCTGGGAGGTAGCATGGCACACTGAAAAGAAGCCTGGATTATGAATGACAAGTCCTGGGTTCCGAACCTTCCGCTAATTTGGTTGTGTGGTCTTGGGAAAAATCACATCTGTTCCTAGGCTTCCAAGAGTATCTTGTGAAGTCTGGCCAATTATCTGGAAGCTCCCTTTAGAGTTTTCCATAAATTTTCATTTTACATAGTCCTTTTATTTTTTGATTCGAGATCTGTCTAGATTTCATTCAGTATCTTACTTTGTAAGCAGTCCCAGTCCCATCATCCTATTTTAAGGAATAACAGATAATATTACAGGATAGTTATCACATTTCTCTTACTTTACCCCTTTAGAAGCTTCTATAAATCCCACAATCTTGCTACTCACTAAACTTTTTCTTTAAGATAATGGAAAGGAGGAACCTGGAAGGGAAAAGGTCTTTGTTTTTTCTACTAAATCTAATGAAGATTTTTTTGGTTGATTTGAAACTGCGAGGGCTGCTAGATGGCACAGTGCATAGAGCACTGGCCCTGGATTCAGGAGGACCTGAGTTCAAATCTGGCCTCAGACACATAACACTTACTAGCTGTGTGACCCTGGGCAAGTCACTTAACCCCACTGCCTAACGAAAAAAAAGAAAAAAGAAACTGCATAGGAGAGGGAACTGTTGGACCACCACACCCTTCCTACCTCGTCTCCAAACCATCAAGTCTACCGTCACCTGACGGCCAGGTCAAAATGACACTGACTAACACAAAAACATCAGAGCTTTATTTGTAGAGCTAAGCCGGTTGTGGATTAGAGGCAGGTGAATAACTGCAGGTGATGGTCTCTATGCCAATTTATAAAACAACGAAATAAATGAAAAAATTCTTGTTTCAAAAGAGTTAGTTTGAGACTGTCATTACTAGCAGGAAAAACACTCCCTGGGATTTGAAATGAGTTCAAATAGACAACCATAGTCCAAACTTAAACCTGGAACATAACAAATGATATTCTAACTGAAAATAAATTTGCCTAAAGCCTTGGGTTTTTTTTTTATAATTTCTTCTAGTCATCTACCATTGGGACTCATCTTCATAGTCAAATATACAAGTGTTAAGAGTGCAACAAAAGCTATTATCTTTGGGCCGAAGTATCAGACTAGTAACTATGGTCAATTTATTGTGGATTGTATCAAATCCTCACTCAAGTTCGGCATAAAGTTGAAAAAAAAAAAGAATTGTAAAAGAAAGCTGTATCCCAGAAAGGCAAAAGCCAATGTTAGTATAAACTAGACCCAACATTCTGCGAAAGTTACACACACACACCTGGGCATGTTTGGTATTAAAAGGTTTCTATTAAACAAACAAAAAAATCACTGTACAGCATCTGATGAGAATTACTCAGCATCTAAGGGTATGGATTTTTGCTGATACCTATTTGAAACATCTCATTCATAGAATAAACAGAACAATGCTGCAGAAGAGTTGTCAACTATATATACATATATATTTTTAATATCAGATAAACAATCACTTATAAAAAATATTTACGAAGAAAAAACCTTTTTTACATTTTTAGTAAGATCTGCATGTCTGAACATTAGCAAGGAAAGTAGAAAGAAATGCTCAATTTATACACTAAATAAAAAAGTAAAAAATAAACATATATGTAAAACAATCTCACAGAGGAAATATTGACATTTCCAATTAATACAAATGCACTGTACCTCATATACAAGTGTGTGTTATGGTGTTAAATAAACTGTGGAATTCATGTGTTCTTATTTTACTCTGCAGAATCAGAGTTGGAGAAATAATCATCTTGTTCTTCTTCATCAAAATTCAATTTTGTTGTATAACTGAACAGTTTTCCAATATCAGATTTCATTCCTGTGATCAGAAGAGTTTTAAGGAACAGGATGAACACATTTTATAAATGAAAACAATTTAAATAAATATGGCAATATAACATTTCCAAGAAACAGAATGACAAATCTGTCAAATTTAGAGCAACAAATTAGTCCAAACACAGGATTATACTATAGATCTGTGTCACAAACAGTAAAAAATATAGATCTCAGAATCAAAGGATTTTAGAACTACAAGGGACTTCAGAGGTCATTTAGCCCAACCCACTGCTGAACAAAAACCTCTCTACAACATACCTAACAAGAGGCTAGCCAGCCTTTGCTCAAATCTCCTTCGTCTTGAGGGAGCCCATTCCACTTCTAAATGTGTACGCTTGCCAAAAAGACTATTTTATGGAGAACTCACACAGGGCAAGCACTCACATGGTGGTCAGAAGAAGCAATACAAAGACATTCTCAAGGTCTCTCTTAAGAATTTTAGAATTATGTGACATGGGAGACACTGGGACAGGACTGTGCAGCATGGCGTGCCCTCATAAGAAAAGGTGCTGCGCTCTATGAGCAAAGCAGAATTGAAGTAGCTCAAAAGAAATGCAAGATGTGAAAATGTAGAGAATCCACCCCAAATATTCACATGGACTATGTGTGCCCAACCTGTGGTAGCACATTCTGAGCTTGTATTGGTCTTGTCAGACAATCAGAGGCACTGTAACTTGACTCTAACATAGTAATGTCATTTTGGTCCTCTTCAAGAATGAAGGACAACCACCATTTTGCCATGTAGTCCACATTTCTCTCACCATCTTTTCCACAAGAATAACAGTATGAGAGACTGTCAAATGCTTTGTGGAAATTTAGGTAAACTACAAGATTCCCTCAATAGCCCAGAGATTACTAATAACTCTCAAAAAAACCCAATAAGGTTAAGTGCTGTAAGCTCTTGATGATCATCACTTCCTAGGCATACACTAATCATTCCCTTAATAACGCAGTCTAGAATTCTGCCAGGAATCCAAGCCAAACTTACTGACTGATCTACAGTCTGTAGCCTCTGTTCCCTTCCTTTTCAAAAACTAGGACTTTGGCTCTTCTCAAATTCTGTTGTACCTGTTTCTCCGTCACCTTTCAGAGCTCACTGACTAGTTCAAGTTTTTTCACTATCTTAAGATGTAATTCATCTTGAAGACTTGAAGTCATCAAGGGTAGCCAGATGCTCTCTATATCCCTACTTATTTTAAATAGCAACTCCCTATCATCCATTTTTCTTCCGTCCTCTGCAGTTTAAAGATTGTTCTTGTCAGGGAAAACAGAAGCAAAGTAAAAGTTAAGTGGCTTTCATCTATCATTATTCATTTCATCAACCCTGAGCAGTGGTCTTATCCTTTTTTTTTTTTAAATGCTCACTTTCTCCTAATATATGTAAAAAACAGAACAAAAAAGTCCTTCATATTTTTAACTTTCTTTGTCAGCTTGAACTTATGCTGAGCTCTGGCATGCTTGACACTCTTTTCACAAGGCCATTTCACAAGCATGGTTAGATGTCATGAAGTACATATGCCTCAAGCATATCTATTTAAAGGCTATTAAAACCTCTTCACTTCTTAGGAAGGGAGCACTAAATGCTAATTTAGTCCTTCTTTCATGCAACACTGTATGAAATGTTACTGACCTTTATTAAACTGAGTTCTTCTTCTAGATGTTGGAGTTGTAAAATCAGATCCAACCTAAAAAGAATCACAAAACCTCAGAATTGGAAAGGACCACAAAGACCATCTAACCCATCTTATCTACTCTAATAGGAATGTCCTCTGACACATACCCAGCCAACGTTTTTTTTGCATAAAACCTACTATGTCCTGAGGCAGCCTATTTAATTTTTAATTTTATTTTTAATAGTTCCCTCTGTAAGGAGTTGGTTTTCATCTTAATCAGTATACATTGCTAAATTTACTATGATAAACAAATAATATAAAAGTCATCATATTGGCAGTCATAAACTTATAGTAGTTTTCTGAATGTATTAACTGCTCAATCCACTAAATTAACTGGTGCCTTAGAAGAGTTAATTCAGCTTCAATACATTAACTTCATTCACTAGGAACTTACTGAATTTATTATTTTAATGATGGTTTGAATAAAAAGAGTAAATAAATAATCTCAAATCAAGGACTAATATCTTAAGCTGCTATATAGAGTATTACATTGGAGATTAGCTCTTCCAATTTTTAAGTTTATCAAAATCTTTGCGAATACAAAATAGTATTTGTAAGAGATGTGAAAATGGACTCTGAGGCATCAAGGTTTAGTAGACTTTCAGTAATTATAAGGCATTTTAGGTAAAATAAAGTCTAAAAGTAGTCAGTGTCGTTCTAGAATCCCATTTTAGAACTTGAAAAGCCATTTGAGATCAGTGAGGCTAACCCTGTCATTTTGTATGAGAAAGCAAAAGGCCAGGAAGTGATTTGCTAAGCTGGTGGTACACTGTAGGTCATCCTGAGTGTCAATGATAAAGCCAGGACTAAGATCTAACTTTTATTTTATTGTGTTCCTTATCAAAAAACATTTTCACTTTTCATAGGAAAAAGGATTTTAGAAAAATCTGAGTTTGTCTGCTTCTTAAAGTATGACTATGGCTTTCTTTTTTGATATGCTAAAGAAGCTTGACTAGACTTAAATTGGCTTCAAAAACCAACTATGTCATGAGTGTCACTCATGGTCACAAGGAAGCTGGGCTTTCTGAAACCTACATAATACATGATGAATGAATGAACAAAATGAGATTAATAATAAGAATAAAAAATGTTACCAGTTTCTTCTTGACATTGGCCCACACCATACCACCATGACTTTTATTCTCCTTTTGCATTTGAAACACATATTTATCACAATCTTTTCTGCAAAAATACAAATTAGCATTTCAAAATGAACATAGATAATCCATGAGGTCTAATTAGTTATACAGTAATTGCTAAATTGACATGAATTTTAAATTGTTTTTGGTCTAGAGAAAACTTTTCTCCCTATTTTTATAAAATCAAAGTATTCTTAAGCCCACAAATCAAATATTTAACTCAGATTCTTAAAAGCACCAACTTGCACACAGACTTACAAAAAGCAACTTTTAAGAAATGACAATGTCTTTTGAACTCTCAAATATTCTAATCATTCAATAAGACTTTATCAAGATTATAGTATATACCTGACACTGTACCAGGTACTGAGGATGGCATCAGAGGGCTGCAAGCTCAACGAATTACTGATATAACATGGTATATAACATGATATAACATAACCAAAAAGTTAATGCAATCTTATACTCTTATTAATAAAAACATAACATCCAGAACAAGGGGTACAATAGTCCCACTATACTCTGCACTGGTTAGTCAATAGCTGGAATATTGTGTTTAATTTTGGATGCTCGTTTCACAAGGTACACTAAAAAACAGGAATCTGTTAAGGAAGATAACTCTGATGACTACAGGTCTTGACATTTAAAAAAATTTATTTTCCACTATGACTAGAAAATACACCCAAGCAAGTAACATAGGTACTCAGTGAAGCAAAACTGGTCAAAGGAACACTGGTATTACAACAGCAAAAAAAGTACTCTAGTGATGAGGTCAAATGTGGGAGACAGAAATCTTATTTCCTGACTTCTGTCCTGTCAACTGATCTGTGTCTCTATGTAGTTGTTACTTAGGGGTCAAGTGACTTGCCCAGGGTCACACAGCTAGTAAGTGTCAAGTGTCTGATGTCACATGTGAACTCAGGTCCTCCTGACTCCAAGGCTGGAGCTCTATCCACTGTGCCACCTAGCTGCCCTACTTTCAGATTTTTTAAAGACATATTCCTTATTCCCTGCACAAACGTATGTTACCTGTTAACAGATTCCAGCATACCAGGGCTGACATGTTGACACTGGGGGGTTTTTGCCAAGGGATAAATAACTGAAGATGGAGTTGTTGGATCTCTGTCCATAGGTGGAAAATCATCATCCTGACTGACTTCAAAATTTGGTAACTAGAAAAGAAAATGATAATGACTCACACACACCTTTCTTATTACCTCAGTGCAGTTCTAAGGAACTAATGGCAAGTACACACGTGACCAGAAAAGGCAGGGTGGCTCAGTCACATAGTGAGAACAAGAGACAATGGAAGGATGGCCTCAAACAAACTGGGGAGACGTGAGAACTGTGATCAACCATGATACCAGAGGACCAATGGTGAAAAATACTGCCCACCTCCTGACAGTGCCAATGAATTGATATGCAGAATCAGAGATGCATTTCTGGATATGGCCAACGTGCACATTTGTTTTGCCTGACTATATTTCTTTGCGACAAAGATTACAAAGAGTAGGAGAGGGAAAATGTGTCTGATAATTAAAAACAAAATTCAGAATAGCCTGAGCACTGCCTGGCACCTATGAAATATTAAAATACCTAGAAAAATGGTTCCCAATTAGTAGGATGCATATATAGCAGGTAGGGAGAGACTAAAAATTACTATAAGGGGTATAAGATCATCAAATAACAATGTAATAAATATAGAAAACAAATCTTCTATAACTTGAATATAAATTATCTGGCTTGTGTGTGTGTGTGTGTGTGTGTGTATGTGTGTGTAAATGAGGAATGAACCTGTAACTTCATTGGTACAGGAAACTCTCAATTAGGGAACTCCCTCTACTATGCAGATGAGCACCTTGCACTGAAACTCAGTCTTAAGAGTGCTGCCCAGGGTACTAAAAAAGTTAAATGCGTTGCCAAGGGTCCCACAGTCAGTATGAATCAGAGGCAGGCTTGACCCAGGTCTTCCTCCTACTGTGGCTGGCTCTTTATCCACTACGCTATGCTGCCTCTCATCTACATACGTTATTTTTCAAATCCATGTGATTATAAAATATAAACCATCTAAAAGTTACTGAATTCATAATAGCTTTTCATTATATATTTTCAATTATCAGATGTTAATAGCACAATTATTATCATGTGTGGATTCCTGAAAGTTTTTGATGTTAAAAGGGGCATCCTCTTTGATTGGATGTCAAATCGGTTTCCGATATGCTTGATGCATCCACAATGAATTTATGAAAAGCCATGAAGACAACCTATAGCTTGGGATGAATGAAGGCAAGGATGAATTATATAACCTGCAGAGGTAGAAAGTACCAACCAAACTAATGAAGTATAATGATTAATATTCATTTCTGTTCTTTTAGGTATCATGGTAAAATATTTGATCTTATTCTTACTTTAATAATATCAATCTTGAGTAAATATCAGTTGGAATTAATAGGCACCTATGTGAAATATTATTTAAATTTATTTTATACATAAAATTTTTATTTACCGCTTTTGATTGTATATCACCTTTATTTTATATTCCCCTTCCCCCTTTTTCCCCCATGGCTTATCCCTTGTAACAAAGAATATAAAAATGAATCAATCAAAAACATTTATTAAGTATCTATTATGTGCCAGTCACAGGGCTAAGCCCTAAGGATACAAAAAGAGGCAAAAGACAGTCCCTGCTCTCAAGAAACTTACAATCTAATGAAACAATGTGCAAACAAATATATACAAAGCCACCTATACACAGGATAAATAGGAAATAATCAACAGAGGAAGGCACTAGAATTAAGAGGTGTTGGGGAAGGCTTTCAGTAAAAGATGAGATTTTAGTTGGGATTTAAAGGAAGCCAGGGAAGTCAACAGGCAGAGTTGAGGAGGGAGAGCCTTCTAGACATGGTGGACAGCAGCCAGAGAAAATGTCTAGAGCCAAGAGATGGAATGTCTTGTTCACAGAACAGCCAGGAGGCCAGTGTCAGTGGATTGAAGGGTATATGACAGGGTATACAGTGTAAGAAGATTGAAAAGGTAGGAAGGATTAGGTCACAAAGGGCTTAGAATGCCAAATAGAGCATTTTTGTATTTGATCTTGCAGGCAATAGGGAGCCACTGGAGTTTATTGATATTGGGGGGAGGGGTGTGTGTGTGACTTAATCTGATCTGCATTTTAGGAAAATCACTCTAGCGGCTGAATGGAGGGTGGATTGGAATGCGGAGAGACCTGAGGCAGACAGACCCACCAGCAGGCTATTGCAATAGCCCAGGTATTAGATGATAAGGGCCTTCACTAGAGTGGTGGTGGCGTCACAGGAGAGAATGGGGAGTATTCAAGAGGTGTAGCAAAGGTGAAATTGACAGGCTTTGGCAATAGACTGGATATGGGGGATGAGGGACAGAGAAGAGTCTAGCATGACTCTTACGTTGTGAGCCTGAGGGGCTGGGAGGACAGTATTGCCCTTAACAGTAATAGAGAAGGCGAGGAGGTAGGGGGAGCATTTAGGAGCAAAGATAATGAGCTCTGCTTTGGACATGTTGAGTTTTAAGATGTTTACTGGACATCCAGTTCAAGATGTCTTAAAGGTAGGTAGTAAGAGATGTGAGATTGGAGGTTAGCAGAGAGACTTGTATAAGACAGGCAGATCTGAGAATCATTAGCATAGGGATGGTAATTAACTCCATGGAGGCTGATGAGATAACCAAGTGAAGCAGTACAGAGGGAGAAGGGAAGAGGGCACAGGACAGAATCCTGAGAGATGCCTATGGTTAGAGGGTATGACCTGCATGAGGATCTAACAAATGAGACTAAGAAGGAATAGTCAGATAGGTAGGAGGAGAACCAGGAGAAGGAGAGAATGGCGTCCTGAAAACCTAGAGAAGAGAGTATCAAGGAGAGAGCGATCAACGGTGTCAAAAAGAGCAGAGAGGTCAAGGAGAATGAGGATTGGGCAAAGACCACGGGATTTGGCAATTAAGAGATCATTAGTAACTTTGGAGAGAGCAGTTTTGGTGGAATCATAAGGTTGGAAGAGAGTAAGAGGAGACTAAGTGGAGCCACTTATTATAGACAGTCTTTTCAAGGAGTTTAGCTACAAAGGGTAGAAGATATATAGGACAGATAGATAGTTGTAGGGGATGAAAGGGGGTGGGACAGAAAGCTGTTCTGCAAAACTAACCAAGCCCTGAACTGAATCTGAGGATATATGCACTGGTCTACACCTAAAGTGTCTCACCTCAAGCATGTACTTCTAATGGGTATAAATATATGCCATCTAGAACACTGTGGTTTGTAGTAAAAAGGATATATTACATTCTGGTTAAAAAGTGCTCAAGGAAAATTAGCACATTAGCAGATTTATATGAGAGAAATGACTATTAAGGGATTAGTTATTTAGCTTAACTTTTCCAACCTGTAGGTTTGTTCAAAAGAATGCATGCATTTCTATGAGTCAGATGCATATAAGGTTGAGGACTCTTGGATTAGGAATTTGCTTTGGGCTAAGAGAAGTCATCTTTGGGTCAAAATCTAGCAGGAAAAAAGAGAGCTCCTTTCTTCTTCAAACTTGAACATTCCCTCCCAGGGACACAGGAAATCATCAGGCTCAACGTCACTTTTTATTTTATTACCTTCTGCCTTTAGTATTAGCTCCTCTTGATAAGTCAAAGAATATGGGAAAGGACAACTGGTAACGAAGGTGTACATGAAAGGGTGCAACCCAAGGAAGCACAATATTGGAGGGGAGGGAACTATCAGTATCTCTGGCAGGTCACTCTAACTGCCTCTATGCCCAGTAGGGGGGAAAGGGTGTGGGGGTGTGTGTGGGTGTGTGTGTGTACACACGCGCATTCTCACACATGTATAAAGATGTACAGTCACAGATGACAGTAACATTACTCCTTTTATATAATTATCTTCAATTCCCAGTTAGATGCATTCTAGCAAGCTATGGTAGATTTGGCCTTCGGCAATCTGCTTTAGCTATGTCTGCTGCTTATTTGAAACCCTAGTCTGGTGGTTAGCAAACTGCAGGCCAAATCTGACCAGCTGCTTGTTTTTGTACAGCTTGAGAGTTAAGAATGGTTTTTACATGTTAAAACAAAGTTTTGTTGTATTTAAAAGTGTAAAAACCATTTTTAGCTAGCTGGCCAAACAGAAACAGGCTGCTGCCCAGATCTGACCCTTGCGCAGTAGTTTGTCAACCCTTGTCCTTGTCTAAATAGAGCCAAATGCAATTTTGTAGTTGTATACAAAAATGAAAGTTTATAAAAAGTCATTTAAAATGCCACATTCCCTGTTTAAGATTATTACCTGTATTCTCTGATTATGCAAAGGCGATCCACTGAACATGTCATCATGATCATCCTTAGGCAGTTGTTCTAAGAAATCTCTCATCTGCTGTTTTCTTTTTAGAGTTCCCACTCTGGCAGTTATCCTTACAGGCTGGTTTGTATCAGTATCAACCTCTGTGCCTTAAATTCATGCAGAGATTTCGGTAAGAATTTGATCAGTCGTGCTATTTGGTCTGGAAAGTTAGTAACTTAAATAAAATCTAAAGTTTGCATACACATACTGTAAACTCAGTTTCTGATGACTTGCTGCTTCCTTAAATACACTATTCTCTATCTAAGGTTGGTATTCTACTTATGTTATGGCCTGTAATTAGGGAGTTGAAAGGCAGAAAAGAAGGGCTGTGTAAGACTTCAGTAAAGGAATAGGTATCAGAAAGAAGAATGTAAAGTTCTTTATAAACTGCAAAGCACTAAATAATTACCATTGATTGTTATTATCATTATAAAAATGGAACTAAGATCAATAGGGTCCTTATATATATTATGAAAATGGCTACATTCAGATGTATTAATTATGTTGATAATTAGTTACCACCAGAAAATCACCAAGTAGGTATCTAAGCTACTGATTTCACTGTGGTATAAAACATTAAATTTTGGTAGAGCCATGAGGTAAAGTTTGAGTATCATCACACCCAACCAATAAATCAGTCAATATTTATTGAGTGCCTACTATGTATCAGGCACTGTGCTAAGGGCAGGGGGTCCAAAAAGAGGCCAGTTCTCGACACCTCAAGGGGTTGACAATCTAATCTACTTCTATACATATTGCCTCTTCTTAAACATCTAGGTAATTCTTAGCTTTTTGAGCATTACTAGGGAGGAGTGATTTTCTTATCCCTGGGAGAAACATGTCTAAGCTCTAGTAATCCCAGACAGACTGCAGCCACACTAAACAGTGGATTACACCTTCAGATGACTTGTGAACTACCATCTTCCTGGGTTAGTATATACAACTGGGGCTAAGAAAAGTCCTGTAGAGAAAACACAAACTAAATAGGCTTTAAAAAGCAACACACAGACTAGATACTCTCAAAGGTCCCTACCAGTTACAAAATTCTAAGATTTCCAGAAAATGTTTTAGCTTTAATTGGGAATAAGGGAAATAAGAGTTAAGTATCAAAAGAAGCAAATAATGTGTAAATATGCATTTAGACAGTTAAGTTTTCAAATAACTCAAATTCCTATCTGTGTAATGGCTACTCTATGTAATCTGCCCTTTTGAGACCATGTAAACTCTACCACTGGACTGTAAAGGTTACCATTTGAGACTCTGGGGCTGGGTACCATTTTCTTGACGGCACGTTTCCGAGAACCTCTTCCTTGATGCTCTTCTGTGTGTTTCTTCTGGGATTTTTCGGTAGTCCGAGGTCCCACAGAGGTGGCTACATTCAACCAGAAACCATGTTTTTGTTTTGGCACAGATGATAAAGCCCTGTGGAAGTCCAAAGCCATATGTGCTTTTTAAATCAAGAATGTTAAAGTAGCCAAAGTTCAAATAAGTGAAGATGAATGAGAACTATCAAAACTTGAAGAATTATGTCAGTTTTTAAAATCCTATTTATCTATTTATAAATTATATAAACAGCTGATTCTCTTCCTTTTGTAAAAATGCCTCAAGAAAGCGATTACACCCTCTTCCTTAACTAACTATATTCCATTTAATCAATTCCTTTTGTGTTTTCCTTAGTGGTAAAAAAGAACTAACTAGTCATGCTTCCTTATAATAATGCTGTTCATATATGTAGCCACTTATTAAACTTCCGTTTTCTTTTCTATTGGTATTTTAAGATTTTTCTCACAGATCCAATTAACCAATCCATCAGCAGATTTGTATTCCTAAAGTTATCTTTCTGTGCCCAGAACGAGTCACAGTACTCTAAATAAATATCTATCTATTACTGTGTGAAGAGTTAGCTCTAGATTCCAATCTGCTACAGATGAATTTCACTATTAGAATTTCTTTTACTCTATTATTTTTTAATTTAAAGAACCAACATTGGGGCAGCTAGGTGGCACAGTGGATAGAGCACCGGCCCTGAAGTCAGGAAGACCTGAGTTCAAATCCAGCCTCAGAAACTTACTAGCTGTGTGACCCTGGGCAAGTCACTTAACTGCAATTGCCTAATATAAATAAATAAATGAAATAAGCAACATTTTAGGGGAGAGGCTCAATAAAAATTTAGAAAAATGAAAAAAGTAAAGTATTAAATCAAACTACTTACCCTTGAAATTTCTGTAACTCCTTCTCAGTCCAGTTATCCTCTTTAATTAAATCTGGAAAACACTCCAAAGGTTGATCCTTTGTTTCTCTAGATCCCATCACCTCTGCTGATGAAAACTTTTTCCGGTTACCAATCTTCTGAACAGCAGTTTTGTTGGAAAGAGATGTGGGTTTCTTTGTCTTAGAGTGAATATCTTTATCGCTCTCTTCACTTTCATGTTCTAATATTACTGGCCTTTTCCTAGTATCTTTCCTTTTGCATTTTGACTGGTTAATTAGAGTTTCCTTGATATCCTTCTGCCTTGTTTTCATGCCAAGTTGAGCCTTCTTTCTGGATTCCTCTTCTGTTTCACTTTCTTGACTAGAGATCTCTGTCACCTTGGTTTGAATTTTGTGGGGCAAAATATTTCCAGAAGGTTCAATTCTGTTTAGTCTTAATGACTTTTTTATTTTTCTCTCAGAGTCAGAAGTAGAACTTTGCTCCTTTGGAGGTGATGACATTTTAATTTTCTGGTTGATGGTGACTGAAGCATATATGCCAGTATCATCCTCATCCTCAGTTTTGTGTATTAAGCCACTTCCAAATGTCTTTTCTAAAGACTTTAACAATCTGTTGTTTTTATTTTTCCTCAAGTCAGCTTTGTTGCCACCATTTTTATGTTTTGGCAAAGCAAGTTCTGAGATTCTTTTTATGGTGTAAGTGGACAAATTATTATCTTTACATTTTTGCTCCAGTGTCTTTTTAGAATTCATTGGTGTTAACATGACAGTAAGCTTCTTTTTTATATTATTCACACATTCCATTTTTTCTGTATCTGAAAGAAACTCTTCCCTTGAAGACTGTGTATCACTGGACTCAATCAACTCTTGAGTGGTGTCTTTAGCCACATTCTTCCTTACTTTAAAAAAAAAATCAGTCATTCATATACATTTATACATGCAAATTTAAAAAAACAAAAGTTTCATAGCTAATAATTAAAATACATGAATCTTAAGAGGAAGTATACTGTCTACCATTTGAAAATAATGCTATTCAAAACCACATGTGATATTTAGCAATATGCTACCACAGCACTTGAAGGCAATACCCAAAAAAAGAAACCTTTTATCCTAATAAAACTAGACACATAATGTATCTTAAGTCTATATTGATCTGTACTAATGAATGAATGAATAAAAAAGCACTTATTAAGCATGCTTACTATGTACAAAGCACTACACTAGTCACTGGTGAAAGAAGTTGAAGACAGTTACTTTTCTCAAAGAACTCACATTCTATCTGGGGAGACAAAACATATAAGAAGTTTCAGTTGCAAGGCAGATGGAAAGGTCTTTAGGGTGCAGCAGAGCAAGGCAGATGGTAATTCATCTCCTTTAGTGTCATTTTCAATGATAAAGTCCTATCAGGTTCTGCTGATGAACCACGTGGACTATTACTATATAGGTCAAAGTCAGTTTAATCTAGTTCCAAGTTCTGTAATTTTAAAATTATATAATATTTTAAAAGAAATTTAGTTTTATTACATTAAAGTATATCTAGTAACTTAGCTCATCCTAAGCTTTAAATCCTAGCCATTCCTTTAGGAATATGCTGCTTTCAAACATTTTAATTTTTTTTCAACTAGCAAAAATCAATCAATAAATCAAATTATGCTCCTACTATGTGCTGGGAATTTCACTAATCACTGGGGATTTGAAAGACAATCCCTGCTCTCAAAGACCTTACAATCTAATGAGGGCAGCAACAAATATATACAAAGTAAGCTATGTACAGAAAAATTGGAAACAGTTAACAAAGGATGGGCAGCTAGGTGTTATAGTGGATAGAGTGCTGGGCCTGGATTTAGGAAGACATCTTCCTAAATTCAAATCTGGCCAAAGATACTTACTTGCTGTGTGACCCTGGTCAAGTCCCTTAACTCTGTTTGCCTCAGTTTCCTCACTTGTAAAATGAGCTGGAGAAAGAAATGGCAAACCACTTCAATATCTTTGCCATGAAAATTTTAAATGGGATCAATGAAGAATCAAACACAATTGAAAAAAGACTCAATTAACAGAGGAAAGGCACTAGAATTAAGAAGGACTGGAAAAGGTTTCCTGTACAAGAAGGAATTTCAGTTGGGACTAAAAGAAAGCCAGCGAGGTCAGTAGGTGGAGTTGAGGAAGGAGGACATTCCAGGCATGAAGGAGAATTCCCAAAAGAAAAGAGATGGAATGTCTTGTTTGTGGAACAAATAGCAAGAAAGCCAATGTCACTGGATCAAAGAGTACATGGCAGGGAGTAAGATGTAAGAAGACTGGAAAGGTAGGAAGAGGCTAGGTTATGAAAGGCTTTGCAGGTCAAACAGAGCATTCTTTGATTACTTGATCATTTGATCTTGGAGGCAATAGGGAGCCATTGGAGTTTATTGAGTAGGGGAGTGAGATGGTCAGACCCGCACTTTACGAAAATCACTTTAGTGGTTGAATGGAGGATGGCTTGGAGACCTCAAGATAGGCATACCCACTAGCAAGCTATTGCAGTAATGCAGACATGAAGTGATGAGGACCTACACCAAAGTGGTGGCAGTTATCAGAGGAGAGAAGTTGATGTATTTGAGATGTGTTGCAAAGGTGAAATTGACAGGCCTTGGCAATAGATTGGATAAGGAAAGGTGAGAGATAATGAGGAGTTGGGGATGACTCCTAGGTTGTGAGCCTGAGGAACTGGGAGGATGGTTTTGCCCTCTACAGCAATGTAGAAGGTAGGAGTGTGGGAAGGTCGCTTAGGGGGAAAGATAATACATTTTCTCTCCCTCTCTTCTCCCTCCCTCTAGAAAAAGGACATCCTTATAACAATATGAATAATCAAGCAAAACAGATTTCCATTTTGGCCAAGTTCAGAAAAAGGTCTCAATCTGCACCCTGTGTTCCTCCCAGGAGGTGGGTAGCATATTTCATCACAATTCCTCTGGAATTGTGGTTGAAGGCCATGCCCCTTTAAATTCACTCTCTATTACCTGCCCTTGTTTCAATATTCTGGATGTGCCTTTTTTTAAAAAAATCTATGTTATTGATAGTTCATATGCATACACAGTGATCTCTAGACAACTCCTCCCTTTTTCTGCTCATCAGAAATTGTTTCTTTTCATATCTTCAGATTGTCATTAGTTTCTCCTGAAGAACTAGTGATAGCATGGGGGAGGGACTGAGAGGGGGAATGTATGTGTGTGTAAGAGAGAGTTATGGAAGCATTTTTTTAAAATGCACAGAAGGAAACATAAGCAAACTGAAAGTAACATGCTGAATTTATTTTAAAAGCAAGTTGTATATAGTAGAAATTTTTGGCCTCTTTTTCTCTTCTATTTTGTATATAGAAATGTTCTTTTTTTAAGTGTGTGTATTCATTAAATTCAGAATAAATAAAACTTTCTTCTGGGCTGACTTTCCCTATAGAAACTTCAGTCTATGTGGGATCCTCTAATCACCTTTTTTCTAAATCCTTTGAAATCTGCTCTCTCAAGTCAAGAACTCTCCTCTATCGTTAATTACAGGAAGGAGTGGTCATTTCTCCTCACAGTTCCTGCCACTTATATGTCAACAAAATCAGTTTCTTCTTTTTGGTAAGAATTGGGTATAAGCTACCAGTTGTCTTTATGGGTTCCTCCAATTTTGGAGGGAGGAAATTATTATTAAGGAAAGTCAAGAAATTACTAGGGAGCCTCTCAAATTCTCCTCCAAGCAACTTTAAAATAATGCCTCAACATGAATTTTGGAATAGCAAAACCCACACAAGGACCAAGGTGAAACATTTTTCCAGCTCAAGACAACTTAGAAGGTCAGCAGGAAAGGTCTACTGATTGGAGTGGGGTCAGAGTTGGGTGCAGTCCAGAGCAAGCAATGCCAGAGACCTGGCAAGCCAGCAGCAGGTCCGGGGGACAACTGAATCTAGAGAACACAGATGGTAAGGGGGTTGGACAACTGGTCAGAAGATTATAGGGGTCCCCCTTCTGGTGCACGACTCCTACTTGGATCAGGGTCTCAGTCCTGGGTCACAGTTCCAGGATAAGAAGGAGCACTAGCACACCAGAGCTACAAGGATACAAAGATTCTGGTCACAGTTCTAGGCCAGAAAAGAGTGCTTGTGGTCACTCATAGACCAGAGCACAGGCCAGGAGAGCAATAAACATACCTCTCCTTAGATCATACCACCTTGGAAGAACTGAAAACTTACAGATCCTGAGAAGTGCCTCTGAAAACAACAGCACAAAAAACCTGAAACTTGGGACAGTGCCCCTCCACCCCAGGACCAGAGTCCAACTTTAACATCAAGTTACAAAGCAAGAAATAGGCTGGAAACATGAGCAAACAACAAAAACCCTGACCACAGAAAATTATTATGGTGAGAGGGAAGATCAAAACACAAACTCAGAAGAAGACAACAAAGTCAAAACAGTTACATTCAAAACCTCAAAGAAAAATGAGTTTCTGGCCCAAAAAGAATTCCTGGAAGAGCTCAAAGAGGATTTTAAAAATCAAATAAAAGAGGTAGAGAAAAAATTGAGAAAAGAAATGAGAATCACGGGAAAAAAATGAAAAAAGAGTCAACAGCTTGGTAAAGGAAACACAAAATGAAACTGAAGAAAATAATACCTTAAAAAACAATAGGTAAATAGTAAACAGTAAAAGAGGCACAAAAATCTACTGAAGAGAAGAACTCCTTAAAAACTAGAATTAGCCAAATGAAAAAAGATATACAAAAATTCACTGAAGAAAAGAACTCCTTAAAATGTACAATTGCCCAAATGGAAAAGAAAGTACAAAGCTTATTCAAGAAAATAACTCCTTAAAAATTAGAATTGGCCAAGTGGAAGCTAATGGCTGCATGAGACATCAGGAAATAATAAAACAAAATCAAAAGAATGAAAAAAAATAGAAGAAAATGTGAAGTATCTCACTGAAAAAACAACTGACCTGGAAAAATAGATTGAGGCAAGATAATGTAAGAATTATTGAACTCTTTGAGAGCCACGATCAAAAAAAGAGCCTCAACATCATCTTTCAAGAAATTTTCACATTTTCAAAATCAGGAAAATTTCCCTGATATCCTAGAACCAGAGGGTAAAATAGAAATTGAAAGAATCTACCAATCACCTCCTGAAAGGGATCCTAAAATAAAAACTCTCAGGAATATTATAGCCAAATTCCAGAGTTCCCAGGTCAAGAAGAAAATATTGCAAGCATCCAGAAAGAAACAATTCAAATATCATGAAGCTTAGTCAGGATAACACAAGATTTAGCAGCTTCTACATTAAGGGATCAGAGGCCTTGGAATATAATATTCCAGAGGGCAAGGGACCTAGGATTACAAACAACCAAGAATCACTTCTCAGAAAAAATGGAAATTTAATGAAACAGAGGACTTTCAATCATTCCTGATGAAAAGATAGAGCTGAATAGAAAATTCTACTTTCAAATATAAGATTCAAGAGAAGCATAAAAAAGTAAATAGGAGAGAAATCATAAGGGATCCAATAAAGTTAAACTGTTTACATGAGAAGATGATACTTGTAACTCCTAAGATTTTTATTATTAGGGCAGTTAGGAGTATACATAGACAGAGGGCACAGGTATGAGCTATGATAGGATGATATTTAAAAAGTAGGGGGCGGAGCCAAGATGGCAGCGTGAAAGCAGTGACTTGCTTGAGCTCTCCCCCAAACCCCTCCAAATACTCATAAAAAATGGCTCTAACTGAAGCAGCAGAACCCACAAAAAGACAGAGTGAAACGAATTTCCAGCCCAAGACAACCTGGATGATTGATCAGAAAGGTGGAGCGCAGCGTGGCATGGCATGGGCGCACAGGCCACAGCAAACCTGGAGCAGGCCTCAGAGGACTGAATCTCGGGCAGCTGTGGC